CCCTCCACCTCCACCTCCACCTCCACCTCCACCTCCCAGGTGAGTCCTTTCTCCTCCGTGTCCCTTCCTCCAGGACAGGGGCAATCACATCAATCCACCGCCGGCCTCTGCCCACACAAGAGACTCCCTTTACTCCAAGTTCTTCTCGGGCCTTCCCCTCCATGGTGTACCCGGGCTCTGTCCTGTTAAGCACCCGACCGCCCAGCAGTGGAGGGACGTGCGGGCCATGGCCACGGCCATGGCCATTCACGCTCCTCGCGGGAGCCCAGCAGGCAGCTGAGGCGGAGGATGAATGACACTGAGGGGAATCTTGCTTAGTTGGAACCCCGAAAACGGGATCAGCCTGTCTCAAAAGAAAGAGGACCCCACGGGTCTTGGAAAAGCATGGGAAGAACACAGCTAGCAGAGGATGGTTTCCATCCACCGACCTCTGGTTATGGGCCCAGCACGCTCCTGCTGCACCTGCTGCACCTGCTGCACCTGCCCGGGGCGGGACTTTATATTCCTGACGCCTTTGGGCGCAACGGCCTCTAACCCACTCACTCACGCAGAGACCACAGTGACTGGGAGGAGCTACATGGAATAAGAATAAAAATCTGGCCAAATGAGATTATTTCTTTAAGTGAATTCAGGACTCAGGCCTGCAATGTGGATGGACCTCATCAACTGACGGCACAAATAAAGCAAAAGCTGCCCTGAGCAAAAGGGAGTTCTGCCAACAGACGAGCTGCAGCGCCAGCTCCCTCTGGGCCACCAGCCTGCTGCCCCTCTGCAGGTCTGAACTTGCCATCCTCAATAACTGCCTGGACCATTTCCTCAAAATAAGTCTATATACATACACTGGCTCTGTTCCTCTGGAGAACTCTCACTACAGACACAGTCTTTTGTTAGGCATATGCAATATAAATATCTTCTCTAAGATTTGCCTTGTACATGCTTACTGGTGGCTAGTAACGAACAAAAGTTTCCAGTGTTGGTGAAGACTAATTTGTACATACATATTTTTTGTGGTGACTGCTTTTTGTGCTCCATTTTAGAAATATTTGCGCACTCCAACGTCATGAAGAAATTATCCCAAGTTATCTTTCAGAAGCATTATTGCTTTACCTTTCATGTTTAAATATGCATTTCATCTGATTGAGTTTTGTGTAGGTTGTAATTCATTTATTTCCATATCGATATACAATTTATTGAAAACAATGATCTTTCCTTAGAGCACTGCAGGATCACCTTTGTTCTAAATCAAGACTGTATGAGTGGTTCTGTTTAGGATGTGTTCTTCTGTTTCAATGTTTAATTACCCATCCAAGTAAGTGCCACACTGTCTTGATTGCTATGGCTTTAAAATAGTGATTTTTTTTCCTTCCAGGAAACTTTAGTTCACAAAGTCTAACATACATTCACAAGCACATTGCTTGGAGCTTCAGGTCTTATTGAAAGCAGCAATGTTGACACTCCTCAAATGCTCCTGGAACTTGGGGGGGTGGCCATTTGCCTTGGGCCTCCACACATTTGATTGGCATCTTGTGGAGGCTCCAGTCCTTGCAGTTGCCCAGGCCAGCCAGTGCAGCCGGGTGGAGCGCACAGAGCTCCCAGCTGCGCCACGCGGGCATCATCATTCCAGGGTTTGATGTCTAGGATGGAGGGCTTAAATACCTTCATGGGCATTTTTACCTTCTTTTTGGCATATTGCCCCAGTAGCTCTTTGTGCATGTAAATGGGAGGCAGGTGCCAACCATGTTCTTATTAACTCCCAATGAGTCTTAAGTCTCTTGTCATTTAAACCCAGGTTCTCCTCTGGGCCTTAAAGTAGCTGCAGCTTTGATATTCGAAAGGCACTGGAGTGGTTCTCGGATCAACGCAGCTGGGACTGGGAGTGACGCCAAAGAGGGAGGGTGCAGGTCCCCTGCAGGCGACTGAATACAAAACAGGTCCTCCCACCTCCCTGTCAGAAATGGAACCACCGTCTCCCATAGGGCCCGAGGGGGGGTCTGCGGGGGAAGAAAAGGCCACGGAGACTCGTGAGAAGAGGGGCTTCCCCCACAGTGCCGCCACATCTGCCCTCCCAGGAAAAGGGCCGCGTAGTCGGCAGGATTCGAACCTGCGCGGGGAAACCCCAATGGATTTCTAGTCCATCGCCTTAACCACTCGGCCACGACTACACTAACCGTACGGGGGCTTTTGCAGGCTATAGACAACAAAGAACACAAAGACGTGTAACCACAACCCCACATACAAGCAGGCTTTGTGGGATGAACACAAACCAACCTTTAGGTAAAATTATTTCTGTCCATCATCTATATATAGCAGTTTTGTGGGGTTTCTGGTGCACACTTTTTTGTGAAGCATATATGCTCCCCCCAGCGTCCCCCCACCTAGTCATTTGGAACATTAGCTTTCATTGAAGTTAGATGCCAAAACAAAAGAAAAAGTTTGTATTTAATAAAACTTGCAAAATAAAAAGCAATTAGTGATGTATTAGAACTAAAAATATTAATCAAATTGTTTGTTTTAGGGAAACAGTGAACAAGGACTGGACACAGCCACAACTTTGTTTCACTGGACCAGAAAAAAAAGAAAAAAAAAAGACCATGGCAGAATGGATTTTGGTAAAGGAAGAAAGTCAGGCTTCATTTGCAGGAAACAAAAATTACTTTAGCCCTAAACTGGAAACAAACCAAATGTCCATCTACACTAGAAAAAATTGTGGGTTTTGTTTTGTTTTTCATACAATGGAATACCACAGAGTGAAGAAACTAGAAGTACACACACCATATGGATGAAATCTCACAGCCTGATAAAGCCAGACATGAAAGAACACATGCTATAGTGCATTCCAATTTTGGAAAGTTTGAAAACAGCTGAAACTAACCTATGGCATTAGAAATCAGAATAATGATTACCCTTATAAGGTACAGACTGGGAGGTCCCACTACCCTTGGGGGCTTTTTCTGAGATTCTGATAATGACTCTGGTTCCCACACTGGGTCCTGGGGACAGGGCTGTGCTTGCTTTGTGTAAATATATTGAGTTGCTCACCTTCATATGCTTTTTTGTGTACCTGTTAAACTTCAGTAAATATTTTACTTTTTAAAAATTCCATCAGTAGGATGTAAAACTTTTGCTGTCACTGAAAGTTACTTTATATATGAATATTTATTGATGACATACTGAGATATTCACTGTGTATTTTCAAGTTAAAAAGAACAAGTTATTACTAAAATCCTATTCATTGTGCAAATAACTAAGGCAGGGTTATATCTTAAATAACTGACCTACACATATTCTGTGAGTTTCCATCTTTTTTCTGTTTAATTTTGTAAGAAATTGCCAAACTGTCTTCCAAAGTGGCTATACCACCTTGCACGCCTACCAGCAAGGAATAAGGGATATGTTCTTTCTTCTTTTTTATTTCTTGATTTTAAAAAGAGAAACATCAATTTGTTGTTCCACTTATTTATACATTCATTGGTTGATTGATGTATTCTTTCTTAAACTCAGAAAATTAGTCATATCTTTACTAGGCAGTCTAGTGTTAGAGACTGAAAGTGAGAGTTTGGGACCAAATTACTACATTGAAGTCCTACCTTCATCATTTACTGGCTATGTGACCTTGGGAAGGTTATTCGACTTATCTGTGCCTCAGTTTCCTTTGTTGTAAAGTAGAAACAATAATACAGAAATAACTTCATTAGGTTGTTTCAAGCATTAAATAAATAGATGTAATGCACTAAAACACTGCCTGGCACACACAGTGTTAAATGAGGCTGATCTCAAGTGGTCTCTCCCTGGTGGCCAATTATCCACACCTTGGCTTTCCTTCCTATCCTTTATGTCTAATCTATCCATCATCCATCTTTCTCTTTTGAATCATGGAGGAGCTTTAAAAGAATATCCTATACACAACTGATTCACTTTGCCACAGCATCAGGTTAATTCTTCTCAGTATAACTTTAATTACGTTGCTGAATCTTAAACGTTTGCTGTATGTTTTTAATACTTTTTCGCTTAGTATCTTTATTTCAACGTGTTCTCTCACAGCTTTCTTTCGTGTTTCATTTAGGCCATGTTTTCTTGCAGTCTATTGAGAATACCAAATTGTTCCTGTAAATTTTCTGGTTCCTGCAGACTTTTTCAGAAATCTGCTCTTAGAGACTTCTAGATATTGTTCCCTTTCCTTTGATTGCAACTTTGTTTCCATATAGTCCATAATAGGATTTCCAAGTTAAATTCTGTCAAGCAATGGGTTGAGTGACTTAATCTTAGCCCCTTCCAAATGCTGTGGACGTATGCAAGCACAATAAAATGCGTGGGCCACATATTTAAAAATATAAAAACCTACCGACTTCTGTTGGATTCTTTTCTGCCAAGGACACAGACACTGGCCGGGCTCATTCGCAGTCCTGTGCCGCGGTGACAGGCACACGCTGCACTACAGCCGGGCAAAGCATGGTGACGTCATCTCCCGATTCCTTCAGCATTTTTAAAAATTTGGGTTGTGACCCATTTGGGAGTCATGAAAGCAATAGAGTGGGTCAGGACCAGAATTTTTAAACAAACGAAGAGAACACTGAATAGAGTGCAGGCCAGGCTGTAGAAGTACGTAATGCATGCGGAAATGCTTGTTTGCTTTTTAAAATTATATGTGTGAAAATGTGTATTTCTCACGGTCTGTCGAATCACACAAACTCGAGGGTCAGCGCCCCAACACACATCGCCACCTGACTCAGGAGCGAACCACCGGCGGGTACACCTTCCAGGCCCGCGCGACTGCGTCTGCGCGGCGACCGAGGCCTCTGGGAAATGGAGTTCGGCGCGTGGAGCGTTCTGGGAATCGTAGTCCTGCGTGGCCACCCGCGCGCTCCAACGCACCGGCGAACGGGGGCGGGGCTCGCTCCTCGCGACCGGAAGTGGCCGTTGAACCGCTGTAGGACGGGAAAGAGGTTGGCGCTGTGAAGTCCAGCAGCTCTGGCCCCTTTCCCTAGGTTTGCTGATCGTCTCGGCGCTTCCAGACCCGCGATCTGAGCATGCAGATCACTGTGGAGGAAAGCCGAGGTATCACCATGGCAACCATCAGCCCTCCGGTCGCGTGACGTCACCCTCCTCGCCGAGCTAGGATCGGCCTCTACCGGAGGAAGCTGGGGGGTCCTGGAAGCGGGCGCCCGGTGCAGCCTTCGGCACGGGCGGTTCCGCCCTGACCCCGCGGACCGCTTTGTTCTTTTGTTCCGCTCTGGGAGGGAGGACCGGAGCTGGGCCCCGCCCCGCTGGGCCACCTTCCAGCTTCCCGCCCCCGCAACAGGTGTGTCTTCCCGAATCCGAGCCCGCCGGGGTGCACGAAGCTACTCGGCAGTCCCGTGGGCGCCTCTGGCCAGATTCTAGGGGAGGCACCAAGGGTTTCGTTAATCCCGGGCTGAACCTGCGCCCTCGAGCGCCGCGGTTTCGCTCAGCGGGAGTGCCGCTCGCCGTGAGCGCTCTCGGCATTTCTTTCCCAGGACCCCGTGGCCGCTGGGCAGAACTCTGCGGTGTGACCGACGCGGGCTGCTGACCCATCTGTCTTTCAGCCAGCCATCCTCAGCGTGTGTTAAGGTTCAGAGCCCTTGCTGGACAGCTGAGCCCCAGACGGAGGACCCAGCTGGAGGGACGCTGCTGGGGACGTGGTGACCAGGTTCCAGAGGCACGGGATTGGCTCCTGAGATGGAAGGTAGTGAGGCCGGCTCGGGGGGAGCGCAGTGATGGAGGCAAGAGCAGCCCCAACTTGAAGATCAGATACTTGGCAGCTGGACTAGGTGGAAGGAGGAAACCTTATATTTAAGGGTCAAATAAAGAGGCCGAATTACATCACAGGGAGACTTGGCGGAAGAGTTAACTCCCGGGTTTAGGGATTGGGGCAATGGTTCAGAATGTCTGTGATCTTCACATGACTTCTGTTTGTTAAATATCAGAATGATAATCTTGCAGTCAGAAAAAAACCTTGGTAATCATCCCTTCAACGCAAAAATGAGTTTTTTAAAATATCGCTGGGAGATAGCCATCCTTAGGCCAATACCTGAACAAGTGTGGCATTAAACTCTCCATTTTATGTGCAGACTGTTTCCTTGTGACTTTTTTAGTTCCTTATATTAGACAGAAGTGCCTTTTTTTAAACTTCTGCATTGATCTTAGTTCTTGAAATCCCCCGAAGCAAAACTGTTCTCTCACACGCTGCCCTTCAGATATGTCAAATCAGCGATTACCACTCCGATTCACAAATTTTTTCCTAAGCACAGTAGCCTCAGTTCCTCTGATGCCAGAAGAGCTCCTCTGCATTGTCACTGTCTTTACATTCTTTAGGTATGGCTATGCAGTCAGGTTTGGTTTAACCTATTATTATACAATCCTTTTTCTTGCCTTTCTTTAATATCATTAGAAGTTTGAACATTACTNTTAAATATCAGAATGATAATCTTGCAGTCAGAAAAAAACCTTGGTAATCATCCCTTCAACGCAAAAATGAGTTTTTTAAAATATCGCTGGGAGATAGCCATCCTTAGGCCAATACCTGAACAAGTGTGGCATTAAACTCTCCATTTTATGTGCAGACTGTTTCCTTGTGACTTTTTTAGTTCCTTATATTAGACAGAAGTGCCTTTTTTTAAACTTCTGCATTGATCTTAGTTCTTGAAATCCCCCGAAGCAAAACTGTTCTCTCACACGCTGCCCTTCAGATATGTCAAATCAGCGATTACCACTCCGATTCACAAATTTTTTCCTAAGCACAGTAGCCTCAGTTCCTCTGATGCCAGAAGAGCTCCTCTGCATTGTCACTGTCTTTACATTCTTTAGGTATGGCTATGCAGTCAGGTTTGGTTTAACCTATTATTATACAATCCTTTTTCTTGCCTTTCTTTAATATCATTAGAAGTTTGAACATATTTATATAGTTTAAGCTATACCTTATATTTGTCTCAATTCTTTTTTTAAAGGGTACAAAAAATGTTTTCTTAGAACTGCATGTTTATCTAGTTATCTCAAAACAAAAATGTTTAAAAAATCAACTGTCTTTCATTATATTAATGAACAATTGGAGATTGTACTAAAAATAACTCCATTTACAATAGCATCCAAGATACGAAACAAACATATCTAACAAAATGTTCATGATCTGTACACTGAAAGCTACAAAACATTGCTGAGAAAATTTTTTTTCCAGCTGAGATATAATTTACCCATAATACTGTGTAAGTTTAGTCCAATGGGTAGACTTCATACACCTACATATTGCAAAATTATAATAAGGTTAATGCATCTGTCACCTCACATATTTGCCTTTTGTGTGTATCTGTGTATTGAGAACATTTAAGATTTACTCTCTCAGCAACTTCTAAGTATATAATGTAGTATTGTTAACCACAGTCACCATGCTGTACGTTAGATCCCCAGAGCTAATTTATAGCTGGAAGCTTGTACCCTTGGACGAACATCTCCCCATTTTCCCTATGCCCTTCCCTTCCCACCCTGGAAATAACTATTCTACTCTTTGTTTCTATGTGTTCAGTTTTTTTAAATTCCACATGTGAGATCTTACACTATTTGTCTTTCTGTCTTCCTTCATTTCACATAATGCCTTCAAGGTCCATGAATGTGGCAAATGACAGGATTTTCTTCTATTTTATGGCTGAAATATTTCATTCTGTGTGTCTACATATATACACATATTCCCACAGTTGGTGGGAATGTAAATTGGCATACCCACCATGGAAAACAAAATGGAAATTCCTCAAGAAATTAAAAATAGAACTACCATCTGATCCACCAATCCCACTTATGGTTATTTATCCAAAGGGAATAAAATTACTATCTCAGAAACATATCTGTACCCCCAGTTCACTGCAGCATTGTTTACAATAACCAAGACATAGAAGCAACCTAAGTGTCCATCAATAGATGAATGATTAAGAAAATGTGATATGTATTTCCCTGATGGCTATACCAATTTACATTCACACCAACAGTATACAATGGTTCCCTTTCCTCCACATCCTCACCAACACTTACATCTTGCCCTTTGATAATATTCATTCTAACAGGTCTGAGTTCATATCTCATTGTGTTTTTAATTTGCATTTTCCTGATTAGTGATATCAAGTACCTTTTCATGACCATTGTATGTATTCTTTGGAAAAATGTCTATTCAGGTACCCTGTGCATTTTAAAGTGGATTATTTGTATGTATGCTGTTGAGTTGTATGAGTTCCTTATATATTTTGGATAATAATTCCCACCGGGGATGTCCCCTGTCCTAGAATTGAACCGGCAACCTTTCAGTACAGAGGATGATGCCCAACCAAGCCACACTAGCCAGGGGCAGCACAGAGTATCTTCAAATTTATTTGTATCTTCAGTTTTCCTCCTCATTGTCATATAGTTTTCAGTGTACACATCTTTCACCTCCTTAAATTTATTCCTAAGTATTTTATTGTTTTTGATGCTATTCTAAATGGGAGTGTTTTATTTATTTTGCAGATATTTCCTTGTTAGTGTACAGAAACACTATAAACTAAAGTTGTATTCTGCAACTTTACCAAATTTGTTGATTAGTTCTAAGTTTATTTTTTGGTTGAGTCCTTAGGATTTTCTCTATGTCATCTGCAAACAGACGATTATACTTGTTCCCTTCTAATTTGGATGCCTTTTTAAAAATTTTTCTTACCTAACTGCTCTGGCTAGGACTTCCAGTATTATGATGAATAAACAGTGTGAGTGAGCACCCTCTGGTTTCTGTTCTTAGAGGGAAAGCTTTCAAACTTTCATCATTGAGTATTTTAGTTTTGGGCTTGTCATATATGGTTTATTATGTTGAAATACATTCCTTCTTCAGCAAGTTGAGAATTTTTGTAATGAAAGGATGTTGAACTTTATCAAGTGCTTTTCCTGCATCTATCGAGATGGTCATATGAGCTTTATCATTCATTTTGTTAATGTAGTGTATCACATTTATTGATTTGGATATGTTGAACCATCCTTGCATCCCAGGAATAAATCCTGCTTGATCATGATGTAAGATTCATTTAGTGTACTGTTGAATTCAGCTTGCTTAAATTTCGTTGAGAATTTTTACATCTATGTTCATCTAGTTTTCTTCCCTTGTAGTGTTCTTATCTGTCTTGGTATCATGGTAATGCTGGCTTCCTAAAATGAGTGTGGGATTGTTCCCCCCTCTTTGTTTTTTTTGGAAGAGCTTGAGAAGGATTGGTGTTAATTCTTGCAATGTTTTGTAGAGTTCACCAGTGAAACCATCTGGTCCTGGGATTGTCTTTGTTGGAGGGTTTTGATTACTGATTCAATAACCTTACTCCTTACTGGTCTGTTCAGATTATCTGTTTCTTCATGATTCAGTATTAGTAGGTTGTATATTTCTAGGAATTTATCTACTTTTTCTAGGTTATCCAATTTGTTGATGTATGACTGCTCAATTATAACCCACTTAATTTCTCTAGTCTTGCCAGCAGTTGTATTGACCATGCCCATTTAATTTTAGACATTCTTGTATGTAGTATAAGTAGCAGACATCACTGTGATATTTAATTTGCATTACTAGCAAAATTTCAAAAGGCCTGTGAAGACTAAGTAGCTAGAGAAAAAACTGTGAATCTTAAAAGCAGTGATTTACCTTCTCAACCTACCAATGAGAGTATCAGGGCATTTATCAGGGCTAATCGTCAGCAATTATGTTGATTATTTTTTGGATTCTGTGAATTAAAGGAAATGGCACCATTCTGTTATTTTCAAATAGAATAAGTGGATTTTCAAAATTGCTGGGAGCAGCTCTGTTGGACAGGATTCACTGGTTTCTTCTTCCTCTCCTAGAGCTGTCCTCTCCAATATCTGCCCTTCTCCAAGGGGGACATACTCTACTCCCATCAGCCAGTTTTCAGGTAAGTTGAGACTTCCTGAAATGCCATTTCAGCCCTTAGAGTAGGGTATGATTATCCAAAAACCAATGTTGGCATTTCATTCTGGGTTCCTATCTGACGTTCTTCCTGGTTCTGTCTCTCCAGCTTAACTAATACATTCACCACTTAGCTCTTGCTTAGTAGCTTGCCATGCTCTAGCTTGGCTGATAAATATTAAAAAGGTGAAATAAGTGCTGTGGAAAATAAAGAATGAATAAAATGTAGTCTGGAGAGCGTAGGAGAGTTTCATGGAGGATGTGGGATTTTCACTACCTCTCAAAGGATGGACATTTGGACAGGTAGGTGGGAGGGTTGTGGTAGATTCTGGGTATGGAAAAAGATTATGAGCAAAAGTTAACATATAAGAATTAGCTGGGGTTATACAGGATTCATAAATATTTGGAGGAGATGGATGGGTTGAATAAAGTTGGAATATGAAAGGTATTGAATGTCTAGATGAGAAATGAAGGCTTTATTCTATAGACCATTTGTGAATCATTGTTTTTTCCACTCCTCACCCAAGGATATTCTTAATTGATTTGAGAGAGAAACAGTGATGTGAGAGAAACATCAATTGGTTGCGTCGCATGTGCACCCCAACCAGGAATTGAACCTGCAACTTGGTTATGTGCCCTGACAGGAAACAGAACCCCCAACCTTCTGGTTTATGGGATGACACTGTTTTAATATTCATTTTACAAAGGAGGAAATATCAGAATCATGTTTCAGATAGCCCATGGCTTGCTTTACTCTGTCATTATTGCAAACTTCACCCCTGTCCTAGGTAAATGCTTTATGACCAAGCAGAAACATGTTTGGTATTTCAGGAATCAGTGACCTTCAAGGATGTGATAGTGGACTTTACCCAGGAAGAATGGAAACAGCTGGATTCTGTACAGAGGGATTTATTCAGGGATGTGACCCTGGAAAATTATACACACCTGGTCTCTATAGGTAAGGATGATGTCTCTGAGTTAGCATCTGGGGTATAAAGGAGGAAGAGGGATTTCTTGTGCTTAGGTGAGTTTTGCCTTTAGGATTCCTAAATTTTGAAAGGCTTTGAACAGGTTTCTCTCTCCTAACAAGTAAGACACACTAATAATTTTTCTGAACCCTGATCAGTTCCCAAATTATACGTTGTCAGGGAATTTGTAACACTGAAGCTTGATATGCTGTTCATTCCCCTCGGACGGTTCCTATATATCCTTTCCTCTGAAAACAAAGTGGTGAAACTGAACTCTGATTTGGCACTTTTCCCTTACTGCAGACAGGTAACCATCTTCTTTTTTCCTTCTCATGAGCAGGACTCCAAGTTTCCAAACCTGATGTGATTTCCCAGTTAGAGCAAGGGACAGAGCCATGGATCGTGGATCCAGGCATTCCAGTGGGTGGCTTTGGAGGTAAGTAATGGGTCCCAAAGATGAATGTCATTAACTTAGACCTCCTCTCAGTCCATGCTGTCTCCTCTTTGCCACCTCTGTCACTCTTTAAATTAGCTATCTCCTTAAATGGAGTGCCCTTACTCTTTCTTAGAGGTGATCTATAAAACTGAATTAGATATTCTCTTACTATTTTTATCTTTTATTTATCTATCATTCTCTTTGACTCCTTCCAAATTTCTCCCCAAATAATAGGGATATTTTTGAAAATCCTTAGAATTTCCTGAGGGCTTTCCATTGAATTTCATTAGGTCACTTCCACAACAGCCGTCTATTTTTTATTGTTGTTCTTTACCCCTCTACTAAGAGAATACTGGCATTATTTTTTCTTTCAGGCTGGGAAACAAGACTAGAAAATAGCACATCAGTCCCAGAGCCAGACATTTCTGAAGAAGAGCCATCTCCAGACACAGTCGTGGAAAAACACAAAAGTGATGACTCTTGGAGTTCTAACTCCTCAGAAATGTGGGTGTCTAAAGAAAGTCTAGAGAGGCAGCAGGCAAATGAACAAACACTGCCAAGGGAAATAAAAATAACTGAGAAAACAATACCTGCTTTGGAGAGAGACCATGTTAATCATGACTTTGAAAAAAGCATCAATGTTAGTTCAACCCTAGTAACACAACAAGATGTATCTCCAGAAGAGACTGCTACTAAAACAAGCATCAAACAGAATTTAAAACCAGTTAAAAAAGAGAAATCTTGTAAGTGCGACGACTGTGGGAAAGCTTTCAGCTACTGCTCGGCACTCATCCGCCATCGGAGAACACACACTGGGGAAAAACCCTACAAGTGTCACGAGTGTGAAAAAGCCTTCAGCAGGAGCGAAAACCTTACAAACCATCAAAGAATCCACACTGGAGATAAACCATATAAATGCGATCAGTGTGGAAAAGGCTTCATTGAGGGTCCATCTCTTACTCAACATCAAAGAATCCACACAGGAGAAAAACCCTATAAATGTGATGAATGTGGGAAAGCCTTCAGTCAGAGGACCCATCTTGTTCAGCATCAGAGAATTCATACGGGTGAGAAACCATATACTTGCAATGAATGTGGAAAAGCCTTTAGCCAGAGAGGCCACTTTATGGAACACCAGAAAATTCATACAGGAGAAAAACCATTTAAATGCGAAGAATGTGATAAAACCTTCACGAGGAGCACTCACCTTACTCAACATCAAAAAATTCACACTGGAGAGAAAACCTATAAATGTAATGAATGTGGGAAGGCCTTCAATGGGCCCTCAACGTTTATCCGTCATCATATGATTCACACTGGTGAAAAGCCATATGAATGCAATGAATGTGGGAAAGCCTTCAGTCAGCACTCAAACCTCACTCAACATCAGAAAACACACACTGGGGAGAAACCTTACGATTGTGCTGAATGTGGGAAGTCCTTTAGTTACTGGTCATCCCTGGCTCAACATCTGAAAATTCATACTGGAGAAAAACCTTACAAATGCAATGAATGTGGGAAGGCCTTCAGTTACTGCTCATCCCTTACTCAGCACCGCAGAATTCACACCAGGGAAAAGCCCTTTCAATGCAATGAATGTGGGAAGGCTTTCAGTTACCTCTCAAATCTTAATCAGCATCAGAAGACTCATACCCAAGAGAAAGCTTATGAATGTAAGGAATGTGGGAAAGCCTTTATTCGGAGTTCATCTCTTGCTAAACATGAAAGAATTCATACTGGTGAGAAACCCTATCAGTGTCATGAATGTGGGAAAACCTTCAGTTATGGCTCATCCCTTATTCAGCATAGGAAAATACATACTGGAGAAAGACCTTACAAGTGTAATGAATGTGGGAGAGCCTTCAACCAGAACATACATCTTACACAACATAAGAGAATTCACACGGGAGCAAAGCCTTATGAGTGTGGCGAGTGTGGCAAAGCCTTTCGACATTGTTCATCTCTTGCTCAACATCAAAAAACTCACACAGAAGAAAAGCCCTACCAGTGTAATAAATGTGAAAAGGCTTTTAGCCAGAGCTCCCATCTGACGCAGCATGAAAGAATTCACACTGGAGAGAAGCCGTATAAGTGTAATGGATGTGACAAAGCCTTCAGCAGGAGCACTCATCTAACTGAGCATCAGAACACTCACACTGGGGAGAAGCCATACAACTGTAATGAATGCAGGAAGACTTTCAGCCAGAGCACTTACCTCATTCAGCATCAGAGAGTTCATTCAGGAGAGAAGCCTTTTGGATGTAATGATTGTGGAAAAGCCTTCAGGTATCGTTCTGCTCTCAACAAACATCAGAGGCTGCACCCTGATATGACTATTCCAGGAGCATCATAAACGTAGCGATGCATTTACTCTACTTTGTCCTATTGTTAAGTACTGAAGAACCAAAATGGATTGAGAAACTGCTTAAGTAATTTTCACTTTTCACTGTCACACTTTGGAACAGAAAGTACACTGAGCTGAAGTAATCCATTACGTTAAGCAACTTTGTAACATTGGAAAATTCAACTGCTTCCAGCTTCACTTTCCTTCGTGAAATGAGGGACTTGGAAGGAGATGATTCTGAAGGTCATGTGGAGGCTGATGCTCAGTCCGTTCACAATGTATTCTTGAGTAGGGTGACTGCATACCAGGTTCTGCTGTGCTGCATCTAGAATATATTCATGCATGTTTTGTAACAGCGTTTACACTATGGTAACTAGACTAGAGATCTATTAAGCTCCTGTTCTAATGCATTTAAGTTGAATAACTGGTTCCTAATAAAAAGAGTTATAAAATACCCTCCTGTTAATAATTCAGTAGCATATAATGGCTTAACTCAACATAAGTACTGTACTTTCCTACTGTTTTCTAGTATGTTTTAACATTCCAGTTTATTACAGAGATTCTCTTCTACAGCTTAAACCAGTGTTATCTGACCCTAGTTGCATAGTAGAATCAGTTCAGGAACTACAAAGCTTTATTGCTAAGTTCCACCACCAGAGACTGTAATTTAATTGCCCTAAGGAGTGTGATCCAGGGGTCAGTATATATATATATATATATTTTTTTTTTAACTCCTAATTGTGTTTCATCTGTAAAATAAAGAGTATTCAAGGAATTAATTTATTAGGCATGATAGTAGCACATGTAAGAAACAGTCCATAGTTTTTAGAGATGATAATGGAATATCTAGGGGTGAAATTACATGATGTCCTAGTTTCATTTAAAATATCTCAGCAAACAACACGAAGGAAAAATGACTAATAGAGCAAATGTGGCAAATTTTAAATAATTGTTGAATCCTGGCAATTGGCATATGAGAGTTCAATTTACTATTGTCTAATTTTGCACGTTTTAAGTTTGTCATTTTAATAAGTGAACATTATGTTTTGTCAATTTCTTAGAGAACAAGTTTAAAATAGACTTAGCTGGTTTTGTGATCCCTGAGATTAAAAATTCAAAACAATTATAAAAATGTATTAAAAAGTTACAGAAATTAAGTCATTAATTTTCTGATTGGAGGGAGCAACTGGACCTTTAATGTTCACCTACCCAGTGGTCAGCAAGTGGGGCTATGAGATAGAGTAATGTACGATTAAGCATTTATGATTGTCCAAGTCTCAGTTCAGGTCTGCAGAACAAGGAGTTTTGGTCAACCCGCTTTAGTACAGGGAGTGCTAGGGTTATGGGACCCTCACGGGGAGGCAACTGCTGGCAGTTTCAGAGTCCAAGAGAGCAAAGTCACGCCTGGTATACAGCTTCACAGTTTAAATTACAAAACATCCAAATGTTGGGCCACAAATTATATTAAAGTTCTTGTAAGTCCACAAAAGGTACGGACTTGTCTTGATGGCCCACCAGCCCCTTTCCCTAAGTTCTGTCATCCTCTGATCGCCCTTCTTCCTTTCCATCTCCATTTGCTTTCACAAGCAAAATTTAAAAGACAACGTGTTGGGAGAGTAAAGGCAAAAGGTGATATAAAAGATACGGCTTTGAGGGGCTGTACAAGTGAAATTAATCACCAGCTGCCCCTCCACCTCCCAAAACTGCATAAAGCCATCACCTAGGAAGTAGGCAAAGGGCAACTTCAAAGTCCACTTTACACCGTTTCAGACACCCGGGGCTCACAACCACCGAGAGTCCTATGTCTCCGTTAAAAAGTTTTTAATGCAAGATGCTCGGATTAACTTGCAAGAATTACTAATTCGTACCAGAAAAGACTGAAAGTCACTAGCAGAATTTCAACAAACCTCTGAAAATGAGTTGACTGATCAGCAAGCAGAGCCAACAAATGCACTTTCTTCATTAAAACCAAGAATTAAATAGAAATTAATCTCCAGACTGCTGTATCCAAAAGCATTAAAACTTAAAAAGCGTGAGCGCAGAGTCGTTTTCGAACCACTCACAAGGAGCTTCCGCGGCAGAAGCCAGCGAGCCTGAGCGACCCTCGCCCTGCGCGGCCCATTTCCTCCCGCGTGGAGCCGCGGTCACGCCCTTTCCCAGGAGGTCGGTCGAGAGCCAGAGTCCCGACGTCAGAAAGTTCCGGAGCCGAAGTTCGAAAAAGGAAAGCACGGCGGGTCCGAGGAGGGCGGGCCGCTCGCCGCGCCACTGCGGCCTCGGGCTCCTCCGCGCCCCCG